TAATTTTTCTTTTGTTTCCTCAGCCTTTGGTATCATAATCAAGATACTGTTATTATTGTTTGGGAGTTTTTTGTTCTGTTTGCAGCATTGAAGTTTGAACTCAGGCATGAGCTTGCTAAGCACTTGAGCCATACCCCAAGACCTTTTTTGCTTTAGTTATTTTTTGGATTGGTTTTGGGATAGGCTATCCTATTCTTTTTGGAGAGCCTCCTCCTATGCTGCCCATATAGCTGGGATTACAGATACAAGCCACTGTGTCCAGCTCATTGGTTGAGATGGAGTCTCGCTAACCTTTTGGTGGACCTAGCCTTATACTGTGATCCTCCCAGTCTCTACCTTCTCAGTAGCTGGGATTACAGGCATGCATCACCGTGCCTGGCTCAAGATTGTGTTGAATCCAGTATTCTGAAGCTTTTGCTTGCCTTAAGTTTTCATCTAAGAGTTTATAGTTTTACACTTACATATAAGACCATGTGATCATTTTGAGTTAATTTTTTTGTACATGATGTTACATTAAGGGTCTACCTTCAATACTTTTTGCATATGGTTACCTGTTTTTCCCAGGACCATTTGTTGTAAAGTCTGTCCTTTCCTCATTGAATGCTCCTGGCATCCTTATCAAAAGTCATTTGACCACATATATGCAGATATATGCCTGGAGTCTTTCCTCTGTTCCATTGGTTGCCTGTTTGTCTTCATATCAGTACCACCTTGGCAGAGGTGCAGAAGCAGAGGAAAAAGGATAGTCTTTCATAGTCTTTCACCATATTGTCCTAGAATAGTTGCATGTCCATATGCAAAAAAACAAAACAAAAAAAAAAAACTACATACCTCATACAAAAATTAGTGATCAGTGACCTAAAAAATATAAACCCTCAACAATAACTAATGATGGAAAGCCTTTGTGACCTTGGAATATTGAAATTTTTTTCAGTAGTCCTTAGAGAAAAGAAATGAACAAGGTAGTTTGCACATTTACTCATGTAGATTAGGAGAATGAACTCGTAAATCACATATCTGTATGACTTGTAAACTGACAACACTTAATGAGACAACCCAGCAAGACAATGAACAAATGGCATACCACCAAAGATAGATGCGTATGCATGAGTGGGTATTTCAATAGCTTGGAAGTCACCACTCTACCTAACATGCAAAAAACCTAAAGACCTGACAAGTCAACAGTTTTCCTTGGAAGAGGAGTGAGATCACAGGGTAAACTGCCCACAAAATTAGAGAGAAAAGGTGAATAGAGGGTCATAGCTTACTGAGCAGAAATCTCTGCAGGAATCAGAGCATGTTAGGAAAACCCAAACTGTACTTGATGAGCTGTTAGAGGTTCAGGATGAACAAGACTGAGAGTTGCAAACTACACAGGCCCAGGCATAGAATGGAGTCCCATAATTTTGTAAATTTTACTTCCCGGAACTTGATGAGGTCCTTGTAGTGAATAGGGGAGAACAGTCTCATGCTTCTGGCAGGAGGAAGGTGAAACAAACCATTCTGAAGTATACCAAGCATTCTGTTCTCTTAACAACATCTGCCCTCAAGAGAAACTATACCTCACGTTCAGTTTTTCTTGATAGCATCTGTTAATGTATTTGCCATGTCCACTGAACCTTAGTGGTACATTTCATTCACTGTTATTTTTTTGTTCCAGAATCCTGTCTAGGACACACATCATGTCCAGTCATTGTATTTCCTCTTCGTTGTGACAATTCTTAGACGTTTTTTGTTTTTGGTAACCTTGAGAGTTTTAAGGAGGACTGAACAAGTATTTATATACTATTTGTTTATTGTAGGCTATTCTTCTTTTGGGATTTTTCTGATATCTTTTCTTATCATGGTGTTTGTAATGTGGGCTTGGGAGAAGACCACAGAGGCAAAACACCGTTTTCCTCAGATCATATCAAGGACAAACACTATCCAAATGCCTTATCATTGGTGTTGACCTTGATCACCTGGCTGAAGTAGTGTTTGACCAGTTTCTCAGCTGTACAGCCATTCCCTTTTTTTTCTCTCTATCCATATTGTACTGTTGTGAAGAAAGTTTCTTTTCACAGCCCACACTTACGGAATGAAGATTAATGGTCTCCTTCTGTGAGAGCAAAGAATCTGTATAAGTTATTTGAAATTCTTGTGCATGGGAGAATTGTTTCTTCTCCCTCATTTGTTTATTCAGCCTTTTATTTTATCAATATAGACTGAAGAGTACTCATTTTATTCTTTAGGTTATAATCCAATACTACTTTGTTTTGTTGCTCAAGTTGTTCTGACTTTGGCCATGGGAGGCTTTTTCCTTTGGCTCCATTTGACATGCCTCTATCAATGTAGGGCTTTTTGCTGTTTTATTTTGTTTGGCTTTTTTCTTCCTAAAATCGCCAATTTCTCCAAGTAGCCCTGGTTCCTTTTATGGAAGAATTGTATTAAAATCCTCAATCTAAGCACAAGATGTATTCTCTTTTTCTTTTTGTTCCATTTATTCTTTGTTCTTCTTTCTTTTTTTTTTTCTCCTTTCCTTTGGATTAGTCTTCTTTCACTTAGTCTTGTTTATTTAATGTTTGCATTCTTTTTATTTCAAAGGGATTTAAATTATAATAAGAAAAGCTTATTTTTATCCATGGAGTTAATGCTCCTGGTGTTCTTTATTCCCATCTGCAGATTTCCTTTCTCTGTGGCTTTGAGGATTTTGTAACAGCCTCATTTTACACATACATTAAGCTATGTGGAGTTATTCCATAGCTTAGCCACTTTGACCATTTTCTTTCTGATTCTCATTTCTGTTTTAGTTTAAAAAACTTCTGTTGCTACGTCCTTCGTTGCCTGACATGCAATATTTAGAAAACTATTGCTCATTCATTTTATTGTTGTTTTAAAAAAGGAAATAAACCCAGTCCCTGTTACTCCATCTTGCCTTGAAGCAGGTAATTCCCTGTATCACCCATTCCAGTATCCCATCTAACAAGTGAACAGTCTTTGCTTCTTCGTTTTCTCTGAGGGGTTGAGAATTTCTTCCATTGCCAGATCATTTTCCATAATTCTAACATTTTCATCTCTGACCTTAATGAAACCACACTCGACAGCCCATCTTTCCCCAGCAGTATGGTTCTGTGACTGGAATGTCAGCCTTCTGGAAGCAGAGGCCTGTCTCACTTAAGCTCAGATATGCAGTTCCTACAACAGTTCCCGACATGCAGGAGATGTGTAGTAAATAAATACCTCTTAAATATGGAGGATAGAATGTGAATTTAAATGCAATGACTAAGAAAAGTCTCTGGATGAGGGAATTACAGTTCATATTTTCAGTCTTAAGTTTAATGGTTTTGTTTGTTTTCTTTTTGGTAATTTTAGTAGTTTTGTTTTCTTTTTGCTAATGAGGATGGCCTGAACTGTTTGTTCCTATTTGTTCTAAAAGCCCCTACTTTTTTTTTTTTCCTTTTTCTTTTATTTTTCATATGTGCATACAAGGCTTGGTTCATTTCTCCCCCCCTGCCCCCACCCCCTCCCTTACCACCCACTCCGCCCCCTCCCTCTCCCCCCCCCAATACCCAGCAGAAACTATTTTGCCCTTATTTCTAATTTTGTTGTAGAGAGAGTATAAGCAATAATAGGAAGGAACAAGGGTTTTTGCTGGTTGAGATAAGGATAGCTATACAGGGCATTGACTCACATTGATTTCCTGTGCGTGGGTGTTACCTTCTAGGTTAATTCTTTTTGATCTAACCTTTTCTCTAGTACCTGTTCCCCTTTTCCTATTGGCCTCAGTTGCTTTAAGGTATCTGCTTTAGTTTCTCTGCATTAAGGGCAACAAATGCTAGCTAGTTTTTTTTTAGGTGTCTTACCAATCCTCACCCCTCCCTTGTGTGCTCTCACTTTTATCATGTGCTCATAGTCCAATCCCCTTGTTGTGTTTGCCCTTGATCTAATGTCCACATATGAGGGAGAACATACGATTTTTGGTCTTTTGGGCCAGGCTAACCTCACTCAGAATGATGTTCTCCAATTCCATCCATTTACCAGCAAATGATAACATTTCATTCTTCTTCGTGGCTGCATAGAATTCCATTGTGTATAGATACCACATTTTCTTAATCCATTCGTCAGTGGTGGGTACAAGCCCCTACTTTATCTTTGATTTTTCATAGTCTTTAACTTTGGCTTCTAAAATACAAATAATTTAAATAAGACCATACCAAAGCACTCTTTGTCTTATCTTTGACTTTCATCTCAGTGTTGTTAAAGTATCTGGTTATGTTGTGTCCAGAATACTCAAGATGATGGCAAGGGGTCTTAGTCTGAACTTGTTCACTCCACTAAAGGCCCCCCATCCACGGCCTGTGCTGTGTGCAGCTGCCATGCCACCTTACGTCTTCTCATGAGCAGTTCATTCTAGGATTTTGAGTGAGCTTTTGTGTTCTTTGAGGTTCTCATTTATTTAGCATCCTTTGATACTAAGTCCTTATTTCGTAACAGGACAATTCCTCTCCTGTCTCCTTGACTAGCGGAAATTTAAAGACACATTTAATGCTCTACTGTAGAAATTATCTAGTACTTAGTACTTACAGCCTGTGTGTTATGCTCCCCAGCCTTGGTTTTTTGCCTCTTTTTATCTTTTCCTTGTTTTAATTCTTTCCTTTATATTATTTGTGCTTGTAGATTACCTACAAATCCTTTTCAAAGTGAGGCAAGCCATTAACTAAGCTTCTACCTATTATTTTGAGATAAAAAGCCTCTGCTAAACTTGATTAATAAAACTTAATCAGATTATTTCTAAGCTGTGTTGGATTTTGGTTTAGAGGAACAGGAGGGGAGTTTTTGTTTTCGCATGTTTTTTTTTCTTGTAGGTAAAATAATAGCATTTTTCTTATTCTCTGTGCACATGTACAGGTTTGTTAGTATGTATATTGAAAACACTAGAATTGCCATGTCAAATTACCTGCTTGGTAAAATTTAAGTTTTTTTTTTTTTTTGTTCCTGAGTTAATCCTTACTTTTATATAGGAGGGAATGAGTCTCAACCAGAAAGCCAGGAAGATCCCCGTGAAGTACTTAAAAAAACATTGGAATTCTGCTTATCTAGGTAAGACTGGTAGTCATTTTTCTAGTATGTAATATCTAGATTGGTATGCATTGGTTATTATCTACAAATGTGATTTTTCTCACAGGAGTATATATTTATTTTTTGTATATGTATGCCTATGAATCAAAAATCTTGGAAATTGAGTAGCTTTTTGGTATTGATCGTAACCCTCAGGTAAGTGGTCCCAGAGTTGTGTCCACAAATTCCTCTTGATGATCACTATCTGTATTCCTAGACAGACACACGTGAAGGCTCTCACTTGGGCCACTGACTCCGTCTCTGCAGGAGGAATTTAGAGTCCTAGCCTCACCGAAGTCTGAGAACAAGTGGCCATGGGGCTTCTTAAAATATGCGCTCATCTGCTCAGTTGTGTTCCCCCAATCATACCTTTTCTGTTGAAAAATCTAGTAGAGCCTTTAAAATTAAATGACAAAATGGACATATGGGATTGGGTTAAATGCAATTTTCTTTGAGCTTGAAAATAGCTTGTTAGCCACCTAAAGTTTCTATCAGTGTTGTTTTCTTCACATGTACTCTCTGGACCCGTGAAGGCCTCACAGAGGTGTCTGGTGAAAGCCCCTCAAAGTTAGTGGGGCTGCTTGAGGTGAATGTGGGAGGAGCTCTGAGCTGGGCCTTCCTTCCATTTCTGTGTTGTCACAAATTGGAAACACAGAGTACTGCATAATGGCATAATATAGAAACAAAAGATACTGTGGCAAAAGTTAAAAAACCCAGTTGCCTGTCGCTCCCAAACTCTTGTTTAGCCAAAATCACCCATATCTGAGTGGCTAACTGAGACAAGGGACAGAACAGCATTTCCTTCTCACACATCAGTCACTTTGAACACTGCAATTGTCTTCAGAGGGACATTGTAAGAAGACATCCTATGGAACCTATTATCCTGTTTTAGTGTTGAGATTTTTTTTTTTTTAAGTCTCTGTGCGTTGTATTATGTATTATCTTTTTCCTGAGAAACATTCACCAGAAACATTCATCCTTGGCCAAACTACCAGGAAATAGCTCATCTTAGCCTGAATTACTGATTATTTGTGGCTTACCTTTGACCCTGTGGGGTAAAGTGACTGATCCTGTTTCCTTTTTAATTCTGGCAGCAAGGAAGCCAGAGCCAGATTTTGCAACTTCTCTAGCAAGTGTTCCAGACTTAACAGCATGCATTTTGGGTACTGATCTTATCCTAGCTTTTTCATATTTTTTCTTACATTTCTTATTCATGCAACTGGATTTCCTTACTTTAAAAAAGTTATGTTTTTAACGAACTACACAAACTCTATTTAGAACAAAGATAAGCTATGACTACATGTTAAAAGAATTAGTCTTTCATTAATCGTGATCGTATAATGTTCGGTATACAGCACTCTCCAAGTGTCTTTGAAAGATTGTACCTAAAGACAGAAAGAGAGCAAATAACAGATGGGGTGTAGACTCAGATCTAACTCTTAGGCATAGACCTAACATCAGAGCTGTGCCATACCACCTTCATATCTTTTGTGAAACTGTTACTGCCATCACTGAAACTTCATTTTAAAGAAATACCAATTAAAAGAGGTGTTTTCTTTCAACAGGGAGAATCTTGCTAGTGACATGTATCTCATATCGCAGATGGATAGTGATCAATATGTGCCAATTACAACGGTAGCTAACCTTGACCATATCAAGAAACTCAGTACTGATGTGGATTTGATTGTTGAAGTGCTAAGATGTAAGTAAATAATCATTTAAAATGAATGATCCTTGTCTCTACACTGTTTGTCTTCATGTGAGCCTTACATCTATAGCCATCAAATGATACCTGCTGGCAAATTGAATCTGTCATGAAATCCGTAACAGATTTTTGGGTCATTTGAAGGAGTAAAGGAATCCTTTTTAATGGAGATTTTAAAGACAACTGTTATAGTCATGAAAAGTAAAATAAACAATGGTATTTGTGGTTAAAGTAAAAAAAAAAAAAAATTATCTTTTTTTTTCTTTTGCCAGTAAAGGAGTTTCTTTCAAACTTTAACTTCTTACTTAAGGTTTGATTAAATATTGCATATACCTGCTGGCAAATGAATCTGTCATGAAATCGAACAGATTTTTGGGTCATTTGAAGGAGTAAGGAATCCTTTTTAATGGAATTTAAAGACACTGTTATAGTCATGAAAAGTAAAATAAACAATGGTATTTGTGGTTAAAGTAAAAAAAAAAAAAAAATATCTTTTTTTTTCTTTTGCCAGTAAAGGAGTTTCTTTCAAACTTTACCTTCTTACTTAAGGTTTGATTAAATATTGCATTCTTCTTTAGAAGGATATTGTGAGTCTATTTGTTTCTTCGAAATTTGGCAATATCAAATGTTACATGAGAAACTCAAAGGGAAATGTAGATCTTTAAAATGTTAACTGTTACATCACGATTTTAGTTTGTATCCTAGTTTGCTTTGCAGACCTAGGCTTCTACAACTTCTGTTTAATTAATTTTTTTTAAAGAAGGAAAACAGATTTACTTGTGTATAATTGATATAAAGTGTTCATATTTAAAGTGTACATTTAATAAGTTTTGACATAGATACATGGTAAAACCATCAAAACAGTGAGGACAGTGATACCACTGTCATTCTTAGAGTTTGCCTGGCCCTTGCCATGCCTGCCCAAAGGCTTCACCTACCTATCCCTTCACTGCTTGATGTTGATATGGGTTTCCGGTACAACTCTGGTGGGTAAAAGAACACAGTGTGAATTATATGGTGGCTGAATTAAGCCTCATTCCTCTCACTATGATGCCTTTTTTGTAGAGGTGTTTCCACATTGTCCCTGGTCCAGTGTATTAGTGACACAGTCAGTGCACATATTTTTGTTGTTGTATGCATTTGACTTAAGAGTAGTATAAAAAGGTGAACATCTTTCCTTAATACTTATTGTTGGATTTTTTTAGTCACAAATAATTGTCTTCTGTTTTTCTGGTCCTATGTAAAAATGGGAGGAACTGGCAGACATAATCCCTATTAACTGTGAATTCTGAACATTGTACCACCATTTCCCAAGGTGGTGTTTTAACTTTCCAGTGTCTTTAGAATAGAAACCTATTTTTTTTTTTTTTGTATTAGTTGAGTTTGGTTCCATCTGACATACTTTACAAGGTCAGCAACTTTTTTTTACTCTACTCTGTTAAAAAGTCTTTGGTAATTCGTCTTTGTTTGTTTGCGGTACTGGAGATCAAACCCAGAGCCTCTTGCATGCTAGGCAAAAATTGAATCACTGGGCTACATCCCCAGCCCTTGATAATACTTTAAAAAGCCACATGTAGTTATTCCTTACAGACATGCCTTGAATACTTTGCTGCTCCATTGAAGATAATTTCACAGTTGATTCTTGCTGGCTAGGAGTCATGCATACTATGGGGATGCTTAATTGCTCATTGTGGTTGCTTAAGAAAGCTAGTTTATCTGTGGATGACTTTTGTCTCCCATCCCCACACCAGCTGTACTTACTCTTCCCCAGGACTTTACTTATGGATGGCTCTTTAATGTGACTGTTTACCCATCAATTTAGCACTTTAGTATCAAATAGTCTTTTTTCACTTATTTTTTGAACCAAAAGAACTATATGTTCATATATAATAATTTGTGTGATCAGAACATAGTTCTAAAGAGGATGATGTAAATAAGCCTTCTGGACATGGTTTTCATCTCATATCTAAATCTTATCCCCATCCCAATATACTTAACAAAGTCAGTACAAGCACAGTATCTAAACAGTAGATACTTGATAAGTATTTTATTTTCATTTTAATAATGTAGCTTGATTTGAGGGTAAATTACATTTCTAGACTATCGTAACACATCTGTAGTGTATATCACAGTATATCTGATTCAAATGCTTTATTTTATTCCCAGTACCACTAAAGTTGCCAATTCAAAAAAACTTAAAATATTCGTCATCAGAAGTACTTTGTGCCAAGAGTGGGTAGTACCTATCTGTAATCCCAGCTATTCTGGAGATGTGGAGAATAGTGGGTAAAAAATTAACAGGACCCCACCCCCACCCCAGTCTCAGTCAATAGGCCAGGCATGGTAGTATGCACTCATAATTGTAATCCCAGCTATGTGGACAGTATCGGCTCTTGGTTAAAACTCTAGACCTTATCTGAAAAATAACTAAACCAGGTGGGGGTGGAGGGACTAGGGGACATGACTAAAGCAGTAGAGTTCTTGCCTGGCAAGCATGAGGCACAGAATTCAAACCACAGTACCAAGAAAAAAGAAATAAAAGAAATACTTTGTGTTGTGTTTATACCGTATATATTATAAATGAGCTAGATCTATATATTTTCAACCAGATTAATTTTTTTTTAGTTTTAAGTAGCATCCATGTATAATATGAGGGTGTTTCGTTGTGATAATCCATAGTTGTGTTCAGTGTACTTGAAGCAAGCTCATCCCTTCATTATAGTCCCTTAAGCCACCCCCAGTTCCTTTTTCAGACAGTGTTTGGTGAGTTTCACCATGCTGTCTTTGTATCTTCAGGTGCACACATATACATATATATATAAAAGTACTTTGGTCCTCTTCACCCCCAGCATCCTTTCCTTTCCTCCTCTCTCCCACTGAACCCCTCCTTTACCTTCATGACCCAGTCTTCTTTTTTAATTTTTAATATTCATATGTGCATACATTATTTGGGTCATTTCTTCCCCCTTCTCCCCACCCCCTTCCTTACCTCTCATTACCAGGCAGAAAGTATTCTGCCCTTCTGCCCTTCTCTCTAATTTTGTTGAAGAGAGAGTATAAGCAATAATAGGAAGGAACAAGGGTTTTTGCTGGTTGAGATAAGAATAGCTACACAGGGAGTTGACTCGCATTGATTTCCTGTGCATGTGTGTTACCTTCTAGGTTAATTCTTTTTGATCTCACCTTTTCTCTAGTTCCTGGTCCCCTTCTCCTATTGGCCTCAGTTGCTTTAGTTTCTCTTCGTTGAGGGCAACAAATGCTATCTAGTTTTTTTGGTGTCTTATCTATCCTCATACCTTCCTTGTGTGTTCTCACCTCATCATGTGATCAAAGTCCAATCCCCTTGTTGTGTTTGCTCTTGATCTAATATCCGCATCTGAGAGAGAACTTACGATTCTTATCATCATCATTTTGGGTCTGAACTCCAAAAATGAGTAGAAACATGAGATATTTGGCTTTTTGAGCTTGGCTTATCTTGCTCAACATGATTATCTCCAATTCTATCCACTTTCCTGCAAATGACATAATTTCATTTTTCTTCATGGTATACACGTAACACCATATTTTCTTTATCCATTCATCTGTTGTTTGACACCTTGGCTGATTCTGCAGCTTGGCCATAGTGAACAGAGCTGCAGTGAATGTGGCTGTACGGGTGTCTCTCTTGTATGTTGATTTACTCTCCTTCAGATATATGCCCAAGGGTGGTGTGGCAGCATTATAAGGTAGCTCTGTATTTAGTTTTTGAGGAGCCTCCATACTGATTTCCAGAGTGGTTGCCCTAGTTCACATTCTACCAGCGGTGCATGAGGCTCCTTCTTCCCCACATCCTTGCCAGCGTGTATTGTTTGTCTTCCTGTTGATTGCCATTCCATCTGGGATAAGTGAAATTTCAGTGTAGTTGCTTGTTTTGTTTCTTTTTTTAATTAACATACATTAATAATTTGGGGGGATTTCACTGTGATAATTACATACATACATACAGTGTACCTTGAACAAGTTTACTCTCCCATTTTATTTCCATTCCCCCTCACCCTTCTCACCCCTTTTTCAAACAGTTCAACCAGAATAAAATTTAAACCTTATTTCCAAATATTTGCAAGCTAAAATCAGGCATCTAAAGGTTGAATATGTGTAAAACAGAACTGTGTTTTTCATAGATTCTGTTTTACATAGTAATGGTATAAAAACAGGAATAGGAATGAAACCCCTGATTCAGTATAAATATTATAGGGGCAGATGAATTGGGGGAGGGAGAGACATGGAGGACTTCACTGGTGTTTGTTTTATTAAGGTAGAATTTACTTAAATTACATATGCTTTAAGATGTGTATTGATAAGTTTTGACATGTTACACCCATGAGTCTTCCAAGTTTGGGCAATTATAAGTAGACTGCTATAAAGATCTGTGTACAGGTTTTTGTGTAGAGAGAAATTTCAACTCATTTGTTGAGCTTTGAGTTCATTCTATATTTTGTTAAATAGCCTTTTATCAGATGTGTCTTTTGCAAATATTTGCTCCCATTGTATACCTTGCATTTTCCCACTCTTGTCACTGTCTTTTACAGAGCAAAAGTTTCAGATTTTAATGAAGTTCATCCTATCAATTCTTTATTTCAGTTGCAGTAGATTTCTCCTGTGTTTTCTTTGAAGAATTTTATGGTTTTGCATTTTACATTTAGGTTTGTGGTCTCCCTCTGCTCTACCCTTCATGTGCTTTTTTGACTTAGTTTTTTGTGACAAATCAATGATCCGTGTCTGTGTGCTTTTTGGGTTTTTTTTGTTTTGTTTTGTTTCATGTGGATGCCCAGTTATTGTCATTTTGTCAAAGATGCTTATGTGGGGGGATTATTTTTGGGTTTTTTTTTTTTTCTTTTTCTTTTATTATTCATATGTGCATACAAGGATTGGTTCATTTCTCCCACTGCCCCCACCCCTCCCTTACCACCCACTCCGCCCCTCCCTCTCCCCCGCAATACCCAGCAGAAACTATTTTGCCCTTATTTCTAATTTTGTTGTAGAGAGAGTATAAGCAATAATAGGAAGGAACAAGAGTTTTTGCTGGTTGAGATAAGGATAGCTATACAGGGCATTGACTCACATTGATTTCCTGTGCGTGGGTGTTACCTTCTAGGTTAACTCTTTTTTGATCTAACCTTTTCTCTAGTACCTGTTCTTTGGGGTTTTTTTGAGCCAGGTTTTTTTTTTTTCCCCTTAAAACCCCAGAATTTTTATTTGTCAATTTTACTTCACTACAGATTAAAAACTTTGAAAATTAAATCTAGACATTCATGAAACTGTGTGGAGAGTTAAATCATTTTAGAAAAAATGTTCTAGACTCTTCAGCTATAAGTATAATAAAGTGTATGTATTGAAATTTTTTTTCTTTTATTCATATATGCATATAATGTTTGGGTCATTTCTCCCCACTTCCCCCTACCCTCTCCCTCTTCCCCCCTTACCCCTCCTTGCTACCAGGCAGAAACTGTTTTGCCCTTATCTCTAATTTTGTTGAAGAGAGAGTATAAGCAATAATAGGAAGGACCAAGGGTTTTTGCTAGTTGAGATAAGGATAGCTATACAGGGAGTTGACATGCATTGATTTCCTGTACATGTGTGTTACCTTCTAAATTAATTCTTCTCAAACACCTTTTCTCTAGTTCCTGGTCCCCTTCTCCTATTGGCCTCTGTCGCTTTAAAGTATCTGCTTTAGTTTCTCTGCGTCGAGGGCAACAAATGCTATCTAGTTTTTTTGGTGTCTTACCTATCCTCATACCTCCCTTGTTTGTTGAGCCAGGTTTTTTGTTCAAGCCATGGTGGCCTTGAACTCACTATGTAGTCCAGGCTGGCCTCCAGTTTGCAATTGTCTTGAGTACAGAGATGCAGGCATGAACCTCTACACCTGGTGTTTATATATATTTTTAAATGCATTTCATACATAAAATGTGGATATGAGCCCTTATCAGACATGAGGTGAAAATACAAATACTGTTGTTCTCCTAACAGTATCATTTGAGGAGCAGCAGTATATGAAGTTTTTTCTCCTATAGATCTTGATTTTGGAGTTGTAATTAAGAAATTTTTTGCACAGTCAAAGGCTGGAAAGTTTTATAGTTTTAGGTTTTAGATTTGTTAATTTCTGTATTCCGTATGTGGTACCAGTCAGACATTCAACTGTTCTAGCACCTTTTGTTGAAAAACTTTCTCGGCTGCATTGCTTTTGTGTCTTGGTCACAATCAGTTATTTGCTCAGACATGTGTTTGTTTAGCTCTGCGCCCTGTGTTCTGTTTCATTGATTTACTTGTCTGCTATTATGCCAATGCTACAGTGTCTTTTTGCTTTCATTTTATAAATCTTAAAGTAGAAGCAAAATCATCAGCTTTGTTTTGACTTTTCCAAATGCTTTGTATTTCTGTCCGAATTTTAAAATCAACAGTGTAATTTTTCAAAAGCTTGTTGAGATTTTTATTGAGATTACCTCATTTGTATCAATTTGCTTGAAAATTGACAGTATTGGAGTTTTTCAACCCATAAACACATAGTTCATTTACTTAGGTCTTTTAAAATGTCCCTAGCAGTGTTTTGCAGTTTTCAGTACATGAGTCTTTCATAGCTGTTTTTAGATTTATAACTGAGAACGTCACATCTTTTATGCTATTGTAAATAATATTTTTATTTCAATTTCTTGTGTGTATATTTAGAAGTACAGCTAATTTTTACAAATTTTGTTTGCTAAAGCCTAATTAAACCCAATTCTAGTTTTTTTTTTATGGAACTTATGTTAGATTTGTGCATAGATAAGCATGCTGTTTGTGAAAGCCTATTTATAGCAATGTGGGTGCCTTTCATTTCTAGCACTTGCATTATTGCACTGTCTAGTAAAATGTTGTTTCTGATGTGGGAAAAATCACTTAGCCTTCCAGCATTACGTGTGATTGCTAGCCATAGGTTTTCTGTAAGTGACATTCATCTGGTTGAGGAAGTTCCAGCTCTGCCTGAATTGCTGAAGGTTTTTAAAAGTAATTTTCAAAAGTAAATGTTGAATTTGTCAGTTTTTCTACATCTATTAGATGATTGTATAATTTTTTTGTTTTTCAATCCTTTATTATCATAGTTTAAGATTGCTTGATTTTCAGTTGGTAAGCCAACATTGCCTTACTGAAATTAAACCCATTTGTCATGATTGAGTACATTTTTTTGTATCCTTGGATTTAACTTGCCAAAAATCAGTAGGAGTTTTTGCATCTGTATAAATGAGAAATACTAGTCTGTAGTTTCTCTTGTAATGACTTTGTTTATTTTGGGTATCAGGGAAATTCTGTCTTTTAATGAATTGGAAACTTATTTTCCAGAGTAGCTTATTCTGTAGAATTCGTTATTTTTTACCTAAAAGTTTGATAGAATTCTCCAGTGAAACTGTGTGGGCTGTGAGGTTTTTTTTGTGGGAAGATTTTTAACTTCACCTTCCATCTCAGTCATAGATATAGGTTTATTCCACTATTTCTTTCCTCCTTCAGTAGTTTGTGTGTTTTAAAGAATGCTGCTTTTCATGTGAGCTGACAAACTTATTAGTGTGAAATTTTTATAATATTCCTTATCCATTAATGTTGGTAGGCCATTTCTGATATTGGTGATTTGTGTCTTTACATGATGGATACCTCTGAACCTTGATCGTGATCATAACATGCTATTATAATTCAAATCTGCACATGACAGTTTCGTAGTAAAGTGATGTCAAACCAGAAACTTAACAGAAAAGGGCTCTCATAAAAACTGGTGAAGTCTGAAATCAGCCCTTTCCTGAATTACTAATATTGTACCAATATCATCATCTTTTTGCAGACAATGTACTATAGTTACATAAGATAATATTGTTAGGGAGAAGTGGGTGAAGAATATGTGGGAACTTCCTGGGAATCTTAATATAACAAAAGTAAAATAGTTATAAGATGAAATTATTTCATTGTAGGGACTTGTAGAAAGGAGAAAGCCATTGACCCTGTGTTTTAATGTAATTCCATTATTTGAGCTTTTTAGAACCTTTGTTTCAAAGTGTTGCATATAATAGTTCTTGCAGTACTTTTTAAATTTCACTGTTTAGTTTTGAAAATTTTAACATGCAAGATTGTTTTAAAGCTTTTTATAGCTTGTGTTATATAGTATCAAAACTTTCCATATACCTGGGCGCCAGTGGCCTGCAATCCTAGCTACTTGTGCAACTTGAAATCAGGAGGAGGCCAGCCCAGGCAACTAGATCTCAAGACCCCCTGTCCAAAACAACTAAAGCAAAATGGACTGAAAGTGTGATTCAAGCAGTAGGGCGCCTGCTTTGCAAGTGTGAAGCCCTGAGCTCAAACCCCAGACTCACCAAAAACAAAAATTTTTTTTGATAGTTTGCTATTGTATATGGACTTCTTCCATCTGTTTAATAGTACAGTGTAACACATTCCATTGGAATATTATGTAATATTTGAGTTTTACCATTTATTTTTCTTCTCTTTACAGCTTTACCTTTAGTCCAAGTGGATGAAAAGGGAGAAAAAGTAAGGCCAAATCAAAATCGTTGCATAGTAATATTGCGTGAAATATCGGAATCTACCCCTGTGGAAGTAAGTAATTTTTCCACTAATGGGTACTAGAACATTTTCTGAGTTTTTGTTGATTTTGATGTTTTTCAGTCTGTGTTTTTTAGAGGGTTTATTTTTAAGAAGAAATAGCACTTTCCCCAGGATTTATACACTCTGATAGTTACAGCATGGACTCCCACCTTTTGGTCTCAGGACTCCTTTACACATTTTGCATTAAAAGATAGTAAGAGTTTGTATGTTTCGATATTCAGAAGTTGAAAATGAGAAAAGGTTTAAATATTCATTAAGAAATAAAAGTGGTAAATCCTAAAATTAAGGTAAAGGGCATTTTTATGAGAAGTAACTTTTCAAAACATTTATGACAAGATGGTGTTGTAAAGAAATTCCTGAGCACCATTGTGGTTGCTGCTGGATTCAAGCTGTAATACCCACTCTTTTACTTGCCAGTGATTTTCCACCATCAGTGCAAATGTCTTCAGAGTAAAAAGGCACTCATCTGTGTATGTGAAAATGGGATCTGGTGATCATCCTTAGATAGTCTATAGCTTGGGGCAATAATCTTAGGGACCCATAGTATTTGATAGTTTAAGAATAATGGCCTCACCAGATGCCAGTGGCTTACATCCGTAATCCTAGCTACTTGGGAGACTGAGATTAGGAGGACCATGGTACAAGGCCAGCTCCTGCAAATAGTTCACGTTACCCCATCTACAAAATAACCAGAGTGAATGGACTAAAGGTTTGACTCAAGCCATAGAGTCCTTGCTTTGCAAATGTGAAGCCCTAAGTTCAAACCCAGTCTCTCTCTCTCTCTCACACACACACAAAATAATAATAATAATAATAGTAATAATAATAATCACCCCACATGGTGGTGTGTGCCTGTGGTCTCAGCTATGCAGAGGCATAGGCACGAGGGTCTTGATTTGAGGGTAACTCCAGACAAAGCTTGACACCCAGACCTGAATTCAAACCTCAGTACCACCAATAAAAAAAAATAATGAAGAGCAGTCTTGTAAGTTGCATTACAAATTGAACAATTTGTGTTCAAATGCTTAAACAAAGTTGCACTATGTAGTTAAGACACTGATAGTTACGTCTCAAGATACCTTGTAGAAGGTGTTGGAAATTTAGCTCATCAGATCAGTTATTGACCACTTCAGAAAATAGTACCTACATATTTGGGGAACTCTAAAAGAACCCTCCCTTCCTTCCCCTTGTCTTCTTTTTGTTTTTTTGTTTGTTTTTGTTTTTTCGGGAGTACTAGGGTCTGAACTCGGCCTAATGCTTGCTAGGCAGGCACTCTGCCACTTGAGCCACTCCACCAGCCCAGTAATGAACTTTTTAAGCAGTTGTATGTTTGAGAAAATCTTTGACTTGGACTCATTTATGCAAGATACTTTTCATGGGTAATAGGTTCTAGATTGGCAAGTTTTTTCCTCTATATTTTAAAGATGCCATTCTACTCTCTTATGGTCTGCATTGTTTCTGATGATGAATCAGAAACATTTTTATCTTTGTTCTTTGATATGTGACAAGTCTTTCTCTGGCTGCTTTGAAGATTTTACCACTGGTATTAAGCAATTTAATTGCAGGGTGCCTTTGTATAGCTTTCACATATCCTGTACTTAAGGTTCCTTGAACCATTATTTAATTTTTTTCCCTTCTGCTCTTTTCTTTAGAAAGTGTCAGACTACCTATTAGTCCTCTTGAGTGAACTTTTCACTTCAGACTTTGTGCTTTTAATCTCCATAACTTTAATTTGGGCCTTTTAAAAATTCTTCTAATATCTCTGTTGGGCATTGTCAGGTTTTTGTTTTTTTTTTTGTTGTTTTTTTGAACTATAGAATATATATTCAGTATCCTTGTCTACTAATCCTAGATCTGTATCTAGGTTTACTTTGATCCTTCACATAATAGGTTATATTTTTTCCATTTCTTTGCATATTTGGTAATTTTTGAGTGAATAGCAGGCATTTTGAATTTTACATTACTGGGTACTGAAAATATTCTTTTTCTTTTGTTGATACTGGGGTTTGCACTCAGGGCCTTACTCTTGGCAGGCACTCTACCACTTGAGCACTCTACTAGCTCTCCATTCTTATAATATTGTTGGGTTTGGTTTTGTGGTGGCATGTCCTGTAGTCCCTGCTTAGGAGGCTGAGGCAGGAGAGTCCTTTGAACCCAGAAACTCAAGGCAAAACAATGAAGCCCCTCCCGCAAAGTGACTTGGCACTAACTAGCTTAGTCCCTAAGGAATAGTTGTTGGGTAGAATCAGAGCAGCCCCAGGGTTTACTTTTCCTGACTATTGAGGCAATACTTTGTGTCCTGAGAATTTCCCACTGTGGCAGCTGGGATGACAAACTGTTCCCTGCCCAGTAAGCTCCTCCGGCTAAGAACCTGGCTGGGGGGAGGAGGTGTGCATGCGTATATGCTCCACTGTTCCACGGAGCACTGGAGTCTCCATTCACTATTTCAGGGCCCTGAACCTGGAAAGCTGGACACTCCGTGGCTCACCTTGCTCATATTTCCTCTCTTAGGGACCACCCTCCTAGATTGCCTGATGACTGCTATCTGAAAACCCTTATTTCACATGTTTTCTGTGGTTTTTAATTTTGTAACGTGGATCAGTAAATCTAGTTCATCTTGACCAGAAGCAAAAGTTCAGCTAATTTTTTTTTTTTTTTTAGTTGTGTAAGTATCAGACTAGTGGTAAAATGGCATGTTACTTTTCACATTAATTCAGCTTAGTGGTATCTTGGGAGTAGGGAAAGCTGTCAATAAATTATAGAGTTGTATTTTTCCTGTGGCACTGTGATCTTACTCCTGGGAGCTGCACTGAACCTTTTTGGAAAAAGATTTCCTAGACATCATAGCATGTTGGACTCTGTTTAAGGATAAGTTCCTTTCAAAGGACTCGTTTTTCATTTTAGTTTGGTGAGGATAAAAAGTGGTATAGTTGAATTCATGTCTAACTTTTCTATTTTCTGTAGGAAGTAGAAGCACTATTTAAAGGAGGTAATTTACCGAAATTTATAAACTGTGAATTTGCCTATAATGATAATTGGTTTATTACATTTGAAACAGAAGCTGATGCACAGCAGGTAAGTTCTCTCCTCTACCTCCCTGTGAAACACGTAGTTCACAATGTTTAATGTTACTACATAGTGAGAACAAATTTGGGCATTGAGATCATTTTTGTATGCTGAGTTTGAATATAAAGTACAAAGAAAATTGAGTCAATGGGCTTGTTTTTGTAGCAGTATAGAAAGCATGTGACATTAGTTTTTAAGGACATCGTAAGACAAGCAGCCTGGGAAAGTCATTTCTGGTGTTATATCTGGGTAGAGAAAGGTTTCACTGTTTGAGAAATTTGAAGCTAACCATCTTTGAGTGGGCATCATTGTGTTGCAAGATGCTTTTAAAGGTATTGGGACAGAAGGAGATGAGATACTTGTTTCATTGTTCTTAATGGAGGCATCTTGTTTATGGGAAGCAAATGAACAGTGTAAAATGCTAAATGATCCACATAGATGTTCAGAAAGAGAAAACACAAAAACCTGAAAAAATAGGTTTAGTTTAATAAAAGGAGAAAAAGAGTAATGAGAGATGAAAAGCACTCCTTGAGCTGGGCACCAGTGGCTCATGCCTATAATCCTAGATAGTTAGGAGGCTGAGATCAGGAGGATCGTGGTTTGAGGCTAGCCCATGAAAATAGTTTGCAAGGCCCCATCTTCAAAATAACCAAAGCAATGTGGGCTGGAGGTGTGGCTCAAGCAACAGAGTGCTTGCTTTACAAATGCGAAGCCCTGAGTTCAAATCCCAGCCCCACCAAAAATAGAAAAGAAAAAAGCACTACCCATAAAACCAAGTATGAGTAGTGTTGACCTGCCTTGTGAGTATGGTTGAGTGAGATTTCAGAGCCTTTGATGTAGATTTAATTTAGAAAAGAACACGGAGCTACATATAAATAGTGTCTTGAATATTTCAGTTCACATTCTTTTCTCTGTTGCTTCCCTTTTTTAACTGCATAATCCCACTTAATACTAGAACTCAATATTCACTGTTTACTCATATGTCAGTATTTGTAGACTCTGGTCTTAAGGGTAGTTTTCTGATATTTATTGATGCTTGTAAAATATCTATACAAATCTCTATGGGATTTGGGTGGAGGTTCCATAACACATATGTGGTTATTTTAAGGGATCTGTGACCCAAAGAGGATCAAGAATCACTCTTCTAGATTCTGTCTACCATATTTTAATCATATAGTTCCTTATTTAAGATACTGAATTAACTGTCAGTTCATCTTATTTATAAAATTTAACAGGGTGGTATTTTGAATGATTTTGCCCTTAGGCTTACAAATACCTGCGAGAAGAAGTCAAAACTTTTCAAGGAAAGCCAATTAAGGTAAGCAAGACCACTGGTTATAATTTTTTCAATGTCTAATCAGTGCTCTTAAGTATTGTAACAGAAACTTACGTGTTTTCAAACAGGCACGGATAAAAGCAAAGGCAATAGCTATAAACACATTTTTGCCAAAGAATGGATTTAGACCTCTGGACATGAACCTTTATACACAGCAGCGTTATACAGCATCATTTTACTTACCTCCAGTATACAGTCCCCAGCAGCAGTTTCCTCTGTACAGCCTGATCACCCCCCAGACATGGTCAGCAACACATAGTTATCTTGATCCACCTTTGGTAAGTCTTTTAAAGTTACACATTGAAAGTTTAAAACCTGAGTCAGTGGGGGAACCATATATATGCAGTTTGCTTTTGTAAAGCAGACAATCAAGTTATGTTGTGGATTTTAAACTTAATTGGACGGTGAAGACAGAACTATGTGCATAAAAAAGATCCCTAACAGCCTAGGACAAATAGAATGTGTGCTGTTCAGCAGCATATTGTTTTCTTCTCACACCAGCCTTGGAGTTGGTTGGCATGATTTGGGCCTTTGTTAAGGAATGTGGTTGGAATTCACAAATTTGTAATGTAGTCATTTTTCTCCAGTTATGATATCGTTGTCCCCCTAAGCTGAGGTTGTAGCTCAGAGGTAGAGAACCTGCCTAGCATATACAAGACCCTGGGTTTGATCCCCCAGCACTGAGATAGAGAGAAAAAAAAAAGCAGAAATTGAGTTAGTAACTTTGAGTAGAGTTCGTGTCCAGGATATGACTATGGACCAAGTCTGGGAAAGATGGGGACGTACTTAAGTGTCACATGGGTGGCAGCTAGGTACATGGCATATAGAGACATCGCCATTCACTGGCAGAAAAATAGGGTAGGCAGAAAGAGCTTGAGTGGGAACTTGACGGAAGTGTTGCTTAAACTTGAATTGCTGGTACCTGTTATATACTAAAATGTAAACATAAATGTCCATGAAAAAAACCTCATAGGTAGAGGGTGGCTCAAGCAGTAGAGCACCTGCTTTGCAAGCTCAAGACCCTGAGTTCAAACTCTAGTCCCATAAAAAAAAAAAAAACCTCATAGGAAAAAACAGGCACATAGATAAAAGAACAGTTAAACTGGTAACTAAGGGGTTTATCAGGTATTGTGTTGTCACTGAAATTGAACTTTTCAGGTTATATATGAGTTTATGAGAAGGGGTCAGAGAGAAGGAAGCTTTGAGAACAAACCACATGCACAAATGCACAAAAGCATGCAAGTTATTACAGATCAGTTTAGTTTCTGACTAAAGCATAAACTGAATGCTTAGGCTGGGGTACAAGACCAGCAAGTTGCCAGGTCAACCTGTGCAGCCTCTTCTGGTGTCCTGAAGCGTGTGGACTTTGACTTGTTATGTAAGGTTTCTAAGCAAGGAAATGAAATCATACTCCATTTAAAAATATTACTCTTACAGGCATAAGGAGGAGAAGCAGAGTCAGAGAAATGAGTTGAGACAGATTCTGAAAGAAACTCATAAGCCTCCAAAAGGCTAGAGCCATTGCAATAAAAGAATGTTTTGCATACAAGTAGCTAAAGTTCAAAGTTATTTCCATCTCCTGAGTAGGTCCTAGTGGGAATAAAATATACTACTTTTTAAAAATATTACTACATTCTGTGAAAATCCTTGGCTGTATAGTTACTTTTCTCAGAAGTACATCACAAAAGAACCTTGGAGGAACTACATTCATTAAACTCTTACCATTAAATAATCTCTCTTTTTTTTTTTTTTGCAGTCAGTTGCTTTTCTCATTCCTCTAATGGTATTTGTTCTTGTCTGGAATGGGCCCTATTGGGATCCTAGGTCAGTGATGGTCTTGACTTGATTTACATTCAGGTCACTTTTTTAGTTGGCAAGGTGGACCAGGTCCCTCCTTCAGTGTCCCTTATACTTCCTCTGAAACGTTGTGTTACTCAAGGAAAAGTAAAGAGATAGGGCCTGTTAATTCCCAGCAAGTTAAACTCCTAAGCAGTTTTACTCAGACTGCAGAGATTCTGTGTGTAAAATTACATATTTAAAATAGCCTTTTGGTCTTACTATGACTTAAAGTCTCTAAAATCTAGTTCTGACTAGACAAGTCTTCTCTTGTCATATATTTTTAAGTAATATTACTACAGACCATAGAGTTTTTCAAGTTGTGATTCTACTTGATAAGTTTTAAGTATCTCCCTTTCATTGCTTTATGTTTTTAAGTCAGTGAATAAGTCTATAATATCCCTTTTTTTTTTAAATTATAATTTCTATAGAAATTTAACTTGCTTTTTTCCTCTATTTCTTTTCCTTTTTTTTTCACTTTTTGGCAGTACCGGGGTTTGAACTCATGGCCTTGCTCTTGCTAGACAAGTGCTCTACCACTTGAGCAATGCCTCTAGCCTCTCCCTTTTTTCAAACATGGACGGAACTATACATATGTTTCAATTTAGTGAAAAATTAGAATAAGGACTAGAAGGCCCCAAGACTTTGAAAAAACAAGTTTTTTGTTTGTTTGTTTATTATTCTTTTGGTGGTGCTGTGGCTTAAACTTTTGAACCCTGGAGCTTTGCACTAGCAAAACCCCAGCCCCTTTTTTCAGCCACGCCCCCAGCCCTTTTTTTTGAGGAGATTGGTTTTGGCTTTGGTTTGGTTTGATTTGAGATAGCATCTCACTACCTTTGCCCAGGTTACCCTCAAGCTCTTCATTTTCCTGCTTCCACCTCCTGAGTAGCTGGGATCATAGGCATGCCCCACCATGCCCAGCTCTCTTCTTTTTTTAAGAACTGTTTCAACAGTAAGTTTTAGCTTATTTTTATGTGTGTCTGCATTTTAAAAATAGTTGAATGGTTCTTAAAATTCTGTACTTAAATTTTTTTTAACTTTTTAAGATTATGTCTTAAGGGCTCTGTCCCTTTTTCATTTTCTTCTAAATGTTTTTTTTTCCTAGGGTTTGAACTCAGGGCTTCATGCTTGCTAGGCAGGTACTCTACCACTTGGTCCACTCCACCAGCTCTTTTTTGTGCTGGGTTTTTTTTGAGATAGGGTCTTGGGAACTCTTTGCCTGGACTGGCTTTGAACCACAGTCTTTCTGATCTCTGTCTCCTGGGTGACAGGGATTACAGGCATGAGCCACCTGGTGGTGCCCAGCTTCTTCTGAATCTTATATCAAAATATTTATATGCCATGGGTCTGTGACTTGGAAAATAATGATCCAAAACTATGCTGCCCCTTAGAGTAAGACTTGAATGAGGGTAATGGTTAAAAAATAACCCCCTCCCAAAAGCTAAGGTGGTGAAGTAGGTAAAGTTAGTAATAATAAGTATATAAATGGCCCTAACATTGAGAACTCTGATCAATTTTATTAAAGTCATTGGGAATAAAGAATTGTTTACTTCTTACCAGAATGGAGGCAGTGTTACCAGTAATTGTTGGTTAAATAATAGGTATTTTCAGACAATGCCTGTGTTCAGGATCCCATGTGGTCTTAGAGCCCACATTGGATTATTGTAAGGATTAACTGAGATAATGCAGAAAAGGTGCTTAGTACCAGCTGGGTGGTTGTGAGTGCTCAACAAATATTACCCTTTGGTAATGATCTTATAAAGGCATTTCTTAGCTACCGTTAATGTTGAGTATATCATGGAGCATAACATTTCTAACAAGAGGAGGAGATGACCTAGGTAACCCCAGGCTACGGTAGTGTTAACTAAGGTCTTTTTCTGGTGTTCTTACTTGTTTGTTTTTAATGAATCTAGGTAACTCCATTTCCAAGTACTGGATTTATAAATGGGTTTACATCTCCAACCTTCAAACCTACGGCATCTCCTCTGACATCACTCAGACAGTATCCTCCTAGAAGCAGGCAAGTTCTAAGAGTGATTCAGATGCTTACAAGTTTCATGTTGCTTTTTTTTCTAGTGATCTGTAATTAAGATATTTATTTATACACTAGTAATGCTCATCAGAAATATAACTGTTTGAAACATACAACTGTAGCTGTATGTTGGTAAAGATTAAACACCAAAATTATTGCCTACCTAAAGGAATAGATTCTCCATAGAGGAGACTTTTGGGACAATTTATACTACAGATGCCTGTTTGGTAACTTGTACCTGGATTATAGTGAAGCAGGGTCCTATTCGTTAAACAGAAAAACAGATCTTAGCTTACATATTTCATATTAGCATGTTCATTATATAATGCAATGGTTTTTATAGCTCAGCATATACAAACATTTCATTTACAGGAATCCTAGTAAATCTCATCTGCGCCATGCAATTCCCAGTGCAGAGAGAGGGCCCGGGCTACTAGAAAGCCCTTCAATATTTAACTTCACTGCAGATCGATTAATTAATGGTGTCCGGAGTCCACAGACGAGGCCAACAGGGCAAAGTAGAACACGAGTACAAAACCCTCCAGCTTATGCCAAGAGAGAGGTCGGGACTGGGCGAGTGGACCCAAGTAGTCTTGAATCCTCTCCTGGTTTAGGGAGAGGAAGGTAAGTCGCTCACATATTTTGCTGAACCGGTATTGTGTACATATCATAACCTATTAATATTTTAAAATAGCTTTAATTTAGATGTTTTAAATTTTCTAATATATCTCATAAAATCAAATTAAAGGCTGTAAGCATCAAAGTTTTTTTATAATTACTGTGAATGGTTGCTTTTATAGCAGAGACTTAAATGTTTTTTTCCTTATCTTTTTTTTTATTTTTTTGTAGTATGAAATTTTATTCCATGAAACAGTAGATGAAATTTAACTCTTAGAAGGTCACAGTCATGATGGATAGAGAATTTGGAGCTCTATAGTTCTCAGACTCCATTGGTAGTTGTCCCTGCCTCGTACAGAGTATAGCCTCGAGGATCTATCCCATGAGCTCTTATCCTTGCCTCCTTTCCAGCTGGCAGCGGAGCATAGCAGACCGATTGGGAGTTTGGTGACTACACAAACAAATGTTTAAATTCCATTCCTTCTACATTTATCTATAAGCAGAAGGTGTCATTGTGAAACGGTACCTGCCACATTATATCCATACTTGAATGAGTAGTCTTAACATGCTTGGCGTCTTTGTGTCTGTGGTCGTTACCTAGGGATCTTGTCATGCTTCTTGCTTCTGTCTTGCTTATACCATTTATACTTCCTTTAGAAAGGTGGTATTACCAAAGATACAGGTGAGTCATGGAGTTTGCATCTGACCCAGTGTTGATTAGGCCAGTTTGGCCAGTTTATCTCCTTAGTTGTTAATTTGATAAGGACTATCAGGATTTCCCTCTGACAAATCATGAGCAAGCAGTTCAACCTAGCTGGACTTTTTCATTTTAATCTACCTTGAAAACGCTAAATGAAAATATTTTTCTAAGTTTTCCTTACGTAAAGTGTACAACATAGTGTTTGACATAAGCTCCAAAAATGTTGGTTCCTCTTACTAGTATAGTAAAGGCATACTTCTGAGATATGACACAGGTTTGGTTCTAGACTACCTCAGTAAAGCAAATATCACAGTAAAGAAAGCCACATAAATTGGTTTTGTTGGGTTTTTGTTGGCTTATTTTGGGGGGAGGGGCTTTCTGGTGCTTAAAAAAGTTATATTTACACTATACTGTTGTGGTGTGACAAGTGTGCAATAATATATCTAAAACAACAGTGCACGTGCCTTAGTTCTATACTTCATTGGTTAAAAATGTGAAGGATCATCTGAGCGTTGAGCAAGCCCTAGTCACTTTGCTGGTGAGGTCTCACCTCATTGCTGATGCTGCTGAGTGAGCAGGGCTACTAAAGATTGGTGTGGCTGTGTCAACTTCTTAGAATAAGACAATAGTGAATTTTGCCCTATCAGTTATTCTTCCTTGTACAAAACATTTTTCTGATACTTTCTGATAGTATTTTGCCCACAATAGAACTTCTTTCAAAATTGGAGTCAATACGCTCAAACTCTGCCACTGCTGTATCAGCTAAGTCTTTTGTTGTCATATCAACAGTATTCACAAGATCTTTCCAAAAGCAGATTCAACCTTTTTTGCTCATCCATTGAAGTTTTATCATGAGATTGTAGCAATTCAGCAACAGCTTCCAGCTCCACTTCTCATTCTTGTTCTTACCTTATTTCCACCACATGTGCAGTGATTTCCTCTACCAAAGTCTTGAACTCCCATGAGGGTTGGACTCCACTTCTTGCAAACTCCTGTTAACTTTGATCCCTTCCTATGAATCATAATTGTTCTTACTGGCATCTGAAATGGAAAAATCCTTTCCAGGCTTTCAGTTTACTTTGCCCATCAGAGGAATCACCATCTATGGCAGATATTTCCTTATGAATGTTAAGATTCTAAAGTTGAAATTGCTCCTTGATCCATGGATGCACAATGGTATATGTGAGCAGGTATAAAAGCAGTATTAATCTCACTGTATACTTCCATCAGAGCTCTTGGGTGACCAGGCACATTGTCAATGAGTAATAATATTCTGAATGGAATTATTTTTCCTGAGTAGTAATGTCAACAGTGAGCTTAAAATAATAGGTAACCCATGTTGTGAACACACATGCTGTCATTAAGGCTTTGTTATTCCGGTAACAGACCACAGGGGAGGTACAGTGAGTACAATTTTTATGGACCCTATAGTTTTGGAACAGTGGTCATCTGCTGCATTAGTCCCTGACAGAGTCAGCCTACTCTTAGGAGCTTCGAAGCCATGCATCGACTTCTCTCTAGCTATGCACATTCTGGATGCCATCTTCTCCCATGTGTTCCATCTCACTTTCATCAGTGATCTTGCCTCTCTGTCACATTTGCTGCTTCACACACACTGTTATGTTAAAGAGACACTTCTTTCCTTCAACCTCATGACTTTAGCCTCTCCTGGCTTCAGATTTTTCTTCTGCAGCTTCCTTGTCTCTCTTGTCCCTCATATGATGAGGACTTTGCCCTCTATTACGCTTTGGCTTAAGGGAACGTAGTGACAGGTTTGATCTTCTGTCCAGATCACTGAAACTTTCTCCTTACAACTTGGCTGTTTTGTGCAAGAGGCCTAGCTTTCAGCCTGACTTTGCCCTCGGCATGTGTTCTTCACTAAACTTAAATCACTTCTAGATTTTGGTTTAAAGTGACAGACATGTAACTCTTCACTTGAGCACTTGGAGGCCATTATGGGTTTCATTTCATTTCTAATTTCAGTATTATTGTGATTTAGAATACTAAAGAGAGGGAGAGAAATGGGGGAACAGCTGGTTGGTGGAGTGTCAGAACACTCGTTTTTCTTTTAAGTTCACCATTTTATATGGGTGCAGTTTATGGCAACCCAAAACAATAACAGTGAAAACCTCAAAAAACAGATCACTGCAACAGATTATTACATCTGCTGTAATATGGTGAGAATCATCAAAATGCAAGAGTCACCATCAAAATGCAAGAGTCACCAAATGAGCACATGACGCAGGGCTTCCACAAACCTTCATTTTCTAAAAACATCTGTGAAGGACAACAACGTAAAACAATAAGGTATACCTATCTGCTTTCAATGCAGTTTGAGAATTAAACCTAAAGAGGAATCTAGATACAGCTACTCCTGTCTGTATAATCAGTATCTGTCAAACTGATGGGATTGGAAAATAGAGTAGCCATCGGTAGCATGTTTAGCAGAATTGGCACTGGGCTGTGTATCAGTCAGGAAAACAAGTCACGCCTGTAATTTTTATGTAGAGTTGGCTCATTGGGCATTGACAACTCAGAACACAGATGGAAAACATTAAATGTAGTAGCCTACCTGCCAACTCAAGGATTGAGTTTGGATTCTTAGAGCCTGGAAGCTTGGGGGGAGGGAGACTGAAGAGCTGGGGTGCAGACCTCTAGGGACCGCACATTTAGTGCACTGCTAAACAGGCCAGTGTTCCACCTCTCTGGAGCCATCAGCCAGTGTTGTACCTCTCAGCCATGGGCTCATTGTAAATAGAGTGTAAACTGGAAGGACAAATTCCTGTGCCCTCTCAACACTCCCTATTAATAAAAGCTTAACAAAAAGTTTCTTGACAGAGAAAAAAATGGGATTTGCAGAATCCCAACCACATCACAAAAGTAGTATGAAAAGGTAGAGTTGATCTCAGAAATAGTATCTTTTAAGCAATATGCTCTACAGTTACTGTGAATACCCAACAGTATTTGAGCTTTCAAATGGCAACAATAACAGATACAGATTTTGGACAAATGGATACACACTGTCTCCCCAGCAAGGGAGTCATGCTCCACCCAAGTAACGTGACCTAAGGACTGCAGCCACCACCAGTGAAACACAGCAGAGAGAGAAAAGGACTTAAGCTAATACTTCATGTACCTGGTGAGCCAGGGAAGCTGTATGCTGTTTCCACAGTCCTTGTTTCTGAACTGATCCATACAGCCAAGGTCGATGTATAACTTACTTCCTCTTCTATGGAATACCCAGGATTCTGCAGCTGGACTTGTGATCTGGACCTTCCTTCCTCAATGACCTGATCCTCCACAGTGGTCATGTTCTCCTGTATACCTCTTTTTCTTGGAGGATTGGTTTTATTTCCTACTAACTTTTTCTATTGGACTGATGTCCTAAGTAGCTCCCAGGGAACCCACTAAGATCCAGTCATGGAACCTCATGCACAGGGTTTTTGCCCCAGCGAGGTTCAGTAGAGTGGAGAACCCTAAATGCCAGGTAGCTATCTCAGTTTTTGTCTTAATGAAATCACTGTTGTGTCAACTAGTAGAGGCATTCCTCTTTGGGATCTAAGACATACAGACTTCCGACATTCAGAGGGTTATATACTCTGATGTAACAGTGATTCTCCTTCATGGCGTTGTGACCTTGCCTCTGCCTCTGGAGCCACACTGGGTCATACACCATGGTCATGAATTAGGACCCACCTTTAACCTATACCTGTGTCTTTGCTCAGGCAGTCACTTTCTGAGGGGTGAGCATTCTAGCAGGTTAGGTTGACCTTTTGCCACATAATGCTGCTGCTGTGAGTGGGTTTCTAGAAAGTTATTAGGGACAGAGAGAATTCTGAGTTCCACTGATAACAGTGCTGACAGGACCCATGGTAGTCAGAAATGTATACAAAACTCATGTCTGCCCAGTGAGGTGATGGAGCTGCTGTGGTCAGGTGCCACTGATGGTGAAGAGCAAGCTACCCAAAACAAAGGCCCATCCGTAAGTGGAGCCCATGTGTAATGTCCTGTCCTTTAAGCACCAACTGCAACACTGTCCACCCCACACCTTTCTTCCATTTCTGCTTATCACCAGACCTTGAGTCCTGTTCCTTGCACGTCTCATCCAGCCAGATTTGTAGCTCCCTGTGAACCCTAGGATTGGTTGGAGGGCATAGCGAGCGGTTCCTGCAGGTTGCTACAGTGCTATATTCATGCCCAGCTTTATGGCTATCCTTAATGGATAACTCAAGTCTGTAGTCACTTTATGTCTCATAGTCAGTGTTTAGTCTCTACTAGGGACCAGCCGAAAGCAGAAGCTATTTCCAGAATGGTTTCTTGCTAAAGGAGAAAGTAGACTTTCTGCTGGCGATGCCTGGCTTTGCACTAGAATGCTAAGTGTTTGTGTCACACTTCTTCTAGAGGGGCTGGCCAGAGGGTCCATAGAGTGTCCCTGTGAGCACAGAAGATGAGGGCTCCGAGGTTATTGTTCTCATTAACTGTCCATCTTAAGCCAGACCACTTTTTGGTTTTCTGTAAATAAAACAATTTAATCAAGATTATTCCTTAAATTCCTTTCAAGGTTAATACAATACAAGGCTCTTGGAGTCTTTTTATTCAGTTGAAAGGATTTTTTTAAAAAGATAAAGAAAAAATAAAATTATAAATTGAAATTCATGTGTGGTTTATCAGACCACATAAGCCCATCTAGGACAATGGAACTATCTTGGCCATCTTACATCCTCAGGACCCCCCGAGTTCATGCAGTTGTCAACTGCAGTGCTGCCAAGCGTGGCCTTGCTGCCTGCAGGGTGTCTAATTTTGAACACTTCTAGAACACTACAGTTCTAGAACACTGTTCATAAGGAAGTTAAGAAGGGATAGACAGTTCTTAAGGTTTAGAGAATCTGGGGTAGTTTTGTGGTAAAGGGTAAACAGTAGCATTAAGACTGAGAGGGACAAAGGATGGAGAATGGGGCAGGTCATTTGGGGTCTTCTAAATTTTGATGATAAGCATATACACTATTTGATAAATTTTTGCTACCATTTCAAATAACTTACCTATACAGTTTGTTATCAGGTACATACATACACACATGCATATGTCTGTGTGTGTGTGTATGTATATATATATGCATATATAATGTGTGTGTGTGTATGAAATTCCAGCTAGATAGAGTATTCAGACATTCCTATCTTAATAAAATTTCTAAGTAATAAAGCTATTAGGTAAATTCTTTAAATAAATGACTTTCCTTTTATCTATCTGGACTTCAGTTTAATCCTTAACTGTCAACATTTTGTTTAGTGTAACCTTTTTAAAGTTGGGCTTTTAGATTCAATTTTCATCTTTGAAAGATTACAAAGTAAGGACTGAATTGATACATGATTTGAATATAGTAGCATAAATGTATGCTCAGTAAATTTTACAAGTGAGATAAAAATAATAACCTTTTTTTCTTTTCACTCCTAGGAAAAATTCCTTTGGATATCGGAAGAAAAGGGAGGAGAAGTTTACAGTGAGTACAGAAACCTTATGTCATTTTTTACAAGACATTTAAATCTAATACTAAACAAACATAAGCAATTAAATGGATTAAGGCTGAGACACAAGAAGGAGCATTTCAAAAGATTTTGTTTTAATGTGGTATCAATAAATAATAAATGACATTTTTGGTGGCCTAAAAATCAGGATTGTGGAAATTTTTAGAAATACTGTTTGTCAATGTGCTGGAATGCAGCCAAGAGCTGCCTCTTGCAGGTACTTCCTGTCTATATATGGATGTCCAGAAAAGTGCTTCATAGTGGCTAGCTGAATGGTAGAATTTAAAACGTAGTAGCATCCCCCGTTTCATGGGGAAACATCCTAAGGTTCCCAGTGGATGCCTGAACTATGGATAGTGCTGAGCCCTATAATTTAATGCCCTTCCCGTCTTAACTAAGCTCTTACCACACAAACTTAACTTACACTATGTTTGTAACTTTTGTAGTTTGAGGTACAACACCAACTAACAGATTTATTTATCCTTCCGTGCAATTTCACGGATAGACAATTCATTCTTACTATAGATCTACACAACCTAAGCATACAATTTTATTTCTTCAGTCAAGAACATTCACCTTTTCACTTAAAGGAAGTACTTTATGGCTTTTTCTTTGCCTTACCTAGCTTGCCAACATCACTACTTTTGCACCTTTGTGCCATTTTTAAGTGAGATAAAGGTTCCTTGAACACAAGCAGTGTGATAACACAGTAGATCTGATAGCTGAGATGACTGCTGAGAGGTTATGCTGTGTGAAGAGATGACTCACACCCCAGGCAGTACAGTGCAAGATTTCATCACACCACCTAGAATGCCACATAGTTTAAAACTTACAAATTATTTGTTTCTGGAATTTTCTTTTAGTATTTTGAATCATGGGTAATTGCAGTTGCAGAAAATGAAACAAAGTAGTGGTACTTATGTATTTGGAACCATTAGTTTTAATAAGCAGAATAAACTCCTGTGTAGGATTGTTCACCAGTGTTTCTCACTCAAAACATTTTATCATCTTACCCACTATATACAAAACCTTGCTGTCTCCTGCTGTAACTATGGACAGGACAAACCACAAATAAAGTGATGGGCTCATATATGAAACGTGGGCAGTCAGTTTGCTTGAATTGATTACACAGGATCTCCTGTGGAAAATATTTTGGAGAGGGGCTGCAATGGAGGCTGGGACTTTTCAGCACCAAGTGATGGGAGAACAATATGGGAGAATCAGCAGTGGGCACAAAGTCATTTAAAGAACATTCCCAGTGAACTTGCAGATATAGAATTCCACACTTGGACAACTGAAAAAAACCTTGAGAAAATTCTTACTTCAACCCCTGAGCCAGCATGTATGTGATTTTTTTTTTTTTTATCACAAAAGATCTTTGTTTAGAACTCAGAACTTCTCCTTTTAATAAGGTCAGTTGGATCTGTTTTTTGGCTGTTGGGTAAGGCAGTTTACATTGGTTAGTTAATTCCACTTGGAATTGGTGGGGGCCTATGACCATTTAGAGTCTGCATGTCCATTTATTGAACAGCTGCTCCACTGTGCCTGCTCTGAAGCATTCCCACTGAAAGTTTTGGGTTTTGTTTTGTTTTTCCTGATTCATGTATTCATACTTGTGAACCACTTAGAAGTTTAGAAATTTGACTTGATATTATGTATATTGTAAAGGAAGACTTCAAAATTTTACAGGCAGGTAACAAATATGTGACCATTCGAACCCAAACAGGCAAAGAATTCATATCTCACCCAAAGGCATTCAAATCCTAAAAAGTAGTCAACACTGCTTTTAGTGTCAACCCCTATCTTTTTTTGTCCCTGACATTCTGTAACTCCAGCATGCTGCCTACCTCCTTTGTTCCTAAAAATTAAGATGCAGCAAATTTTGTTGTGAAGGCTGTCTATAAAAGTACTTTATCTTCTGAAAAGCTGCATTCACCTCAGAAACATGCCAGTGTTTAAAATAAAGCTTTGAAGTCATGTCTGTGTATAATTTAGAACTTCACTGGATTATTTTGAGCATTTTGTTCATTATACTAGATTATAGGGAGCATTCAATAGTCAGGTGGTTAATAAGTACAAGCTTAGTCCCAAGGGCACATAACTGGGTAAAAGTAAGCACCCTATATCACTTTAAAGGAGAGAAACAGACAAGCATCTACAAAATAGTATTTTTTTTGTTGGCTTGGGTCCATTTTCCTCCTTTAACCTGCTCTCTTTTGGGTTGTGACATATTTTTCTAGACCCTACTCACATAGGCAATAATCCTTTTGGAATAAATTTCTGGAAAATGTTGACCCTTTCAAGTTATAAGTATACCCCAATAATTATCTGTGCATTATTTGTTTATAGACTTTCAGGCAGATATTTGTGATTGTCAAAAGATTCTTTGCTTTATTCTTGTGCTGTCTTTCTTTCTCCACACTTGTTGACTTTATCGGGTATTGTTCTGTTGCAGAGCAGCCAGACTCAGTCTCCAACGCCACCAAAGCCCCCATCGCCAAGCTTCGAACTAGGACTGTCCAACTTTCCTCCATTACCTGGAGCTGCAGGCAATTTGAAAACAGAAGACTTATTTGAAAACAGGCTATCTAACTTGATTATAGGATCATCAAAAGAAAGAGTAAGTTGTATATTACAATTCTAATACTTGACAACATTTTACTAAGCATTAATTTTGTGCCAGGCACCTTGCCGAGTTCTTTACACACAATTTTTCAATACTCAACGAGAGTTTAGGAGAGAGTAAGTGATTTGCAGTGGTCACAGTGTTGAACCAGGGTCAGGCCATCTATTCTCTTCTGTCTGAAGTCAGAGGTGAAACCTATTCCACAATGTACTGTGCTTTCTCTCACCCAGAAACTCAGATTGTATTTTCAATATCATCATTCAGACCTCCTTTATTCCATGAGACAGAAAGAAATAGATCTGAGTTATGCCAGAAGTAACACCGTGTTTAGTAATCTACATGACACTAGCAGTGAGCAGCCTACAGTAGCTTCAGTGTGATGTGGCCTTGGGTGAACTCTGTAGACTCTCACACTGCAGTGTTGATCATCCTTGGATCAACCAAACTCTAAAAAGGTTCCTTTCCAGAATCAGTGTTTGAAGACTCTGGAAAGCACAAAAATAACAGCTTTCTGCCCATTCATTAACCATGCCAAAGTGGCCCAGATCTTGTTGAGTAGTCGTGGCTCCAGTCATTCCTTGCGCTACAGTTCTCAGTTGTGCTGCTTATCACAATCACCCATGTATCTTTTTTCAGTGTGATCCACCACCACAACCCTTTGTAAGGTCCCCATATCAAATGAATTAGAGCCTCCATGGCCTCTGGATTCGGGGGAAGGTACCGTTCAACAGCACATGTTCAGAAACACTGTAGTGGATACAACAGTCCCTCAGTTACTAGGGCAGAGGCTTTTGCTGCAGTATCTTGAGACTAAGGTCAGGTGAAGTGTTTGGATTTTTCCATATTAGTAGATGGCAGTTGTCCCTGTTTTTGGCCTTTGGAGGTTATGTCCCCTCCAAGATTCTATTTTCAAGTAGCAGTCACATATTAGATTTGGCATGTCTTGTAAATTATTGTACATCTTAAACTGGAGCTGACTGCCTGGCTCTTAGCCTCATATGTCTGCTCCATACACACACACATCCAGTGCAGTTGTGTATCTGTATTTAAGTAGCATCAGACCTGAATATGTCTTGAATTTAAGCACACTTTTACAAAAAGAAAGTATTTTTCTTTCTCATAGTTCTGCCAAGCTATATTCCTCCAGCTTGAGCCCAGGATCATAAAAGACTCTGTTTTTCAGGCTAGAGGACCAGAACATCTCTAGTTAGCCTCTGCCCGCAGGCAAGAGTGTGAATCGTGCCCTTCCCTCTCAGCATGAGGTCCTGAGTTCACACCCTAGGACCACAAAAAAAAAATTGAGGAAGAGTGTCATTAAGTTACATAAAAGTATGTTATGAATGAAACTGAACTTTGTATGAAATGGTGCTCTTAAAGAGTTACAAACTGGAGTAAAAAAATCTGGATTCATTCAGTTCTTTGCTTTGTAACCTTGGATATATTCTAAACTGCAGTTTCCTCAAAAACATGTTAAACTGGGAGCATTAACACTTCCCACTGTAGTTTGTGAATTCTGTGGGAATCCCCATCAGTCTCAGCCACCTGCCATGTGGTACTCAAAATTTATGTAGGTGTGGAAGTATCAATCTTTGTTTTGTTTCTTTTTAGTTATAAGAGTGAGTCAAACTGGACTTTGGTGAACCCTGAAGTACCAGATAAGTAAGATGTATTTGATAGCTATTCCCTTGAGAAAACAAGCTTGAAAATAATTATAACAGAAATGCAGAAGAGAGAGCCCAAGACATAAGACCAATTCTGCATTTGCTGAGAAGGGTGAGCTCTCTGTAGGCAGAGGACAGACTTGAGATCTTTTTGATACTTTCACTAGAGAAGATGGTCTTCTCTTATGTCCTTGTTCTGCAACTTGGCAGTTTATCAGTAGGGTGCCACTAGTTTTACTCTGTTCTCCTGGGGGAAAGTAGACACAGTTCCATCCAGCATGGTCAGAGACAGCCCTCCTGTGTATCCAACAGAAAGACGGGAAGCAACCTCTGAAGATGTGTTTGTGCTGTCCATACTTGTATTAGTTAGACCCTTACCTCCTTTGGCAAAGGCAAAGGTCTGACAAATGCTTCATTACCCTATCATAAATTGTTACTTTGACGATTTTCAGAGCCTCAGTACAGATGCAAGTACGAACACCATTCCTGTCGTCGTCCCCAGAGAGCCCTCTGTGCCAGCTTCCTGTGCTGTAACAGCAGCGTATGAACGATCCCCTTCCCCGGCCCATTTACCCGAGTGAGTATTGTTCCACCAATGTTCTGCTATGTATTAATTGGAGTGACCAGTAATGTTGTGTGAGATTTACATATTGGTGGCATTTTTACAGGGATCCCAAGGTGGTAGAGAAGCAGAGGGAAAACCACAGTGTGGACAGACTCCCTTCTACCCTTACTACAACCGCATGTAAATCGGTGCAAGTGAATGGAGCTGCCACAGTGAGTACCTTGCTCCTGTCTTCCTCTATAGCAGGGGAGTCACAGGGCTTCCTATGGCAAAAAGACGTGGTACTGTCTTGCATCATCTCATTTTTAATCAAATCTAATTTTATGGGTTTTTATTTGTGTCATGGGTATTGTTGCTTTGGTACAAATAATTATATACTGATTACTCTAATTTTTTTCTCTTTACCACAACCTTGGAGTCCTTCTGTTTATTTCAATGTGGGTTGCTGGAGGTTTCTTGAATAGTAACAAGTTCATACTCCTGTTACTCGATAGAATTTGTGATCAATTCAGCCATTACTAAGTATGTGTCATGTGTGATAATGAATTAAACAGAACAGCCAGGAAGAACAAGATTGGTGACCTGTTACCCTGTGGACCCAGCAAGTTTAAATCCCAGTGGTTCTTCTTGTCTGTAGTTTCCATCTTTGGTAAATCTAGTCTCTTTCTCTTACTCTGATTTGCATCTTCAGCTTGGTCTTTATCTGTTGCCTTTTTATTTGAGAGTGAAGCCTTGAGCCCACTTGGTTGAGTCTTTAAAGATTTTTTAGTGGAGCTGCCAGTGGCTCACATCTGTAATCCTCGCTACACAGGAGGTGTAGAGATCGGGAGGATTGAGATTCAAAGCTACTCTGGGCAGATAGTTCATGAGGCCCTCTCAAAAATACGCAACGCAAAAAAGGATCGACCAAGTGACTCAGAGGGTAGTGTGTCTGCCTGGCAAGCATGAGGCTCTGAGTTCAAACTCCAGTACAACAAAAAAAGGGAAAAAAAAAAAGGATTAAAATTATCATTAGTAAATGGTTTTATGTTTTTGGCTTTTGCAGGGGAGGTATTGGTACTGGGGTTTGAACTCAGTGCTTCACTCTTGCAAGGCAAGCCACTCTACTATTTGAGCGACACCTCTAGCCTAATGTTACCCATTTTTAAAAGGCATTTCTGTACTATCCTGGTGGGAAAATTATGGTGCAGGAAAAAGTTTTATAAACTCTTTAAATAAGTAGCCATGACCCCATCACTTCATGTGTAATCTCACGTTTGTCTGTTTCTAGGAATTGCGGAAGCCCAGTTATGCAGAGATTTGTCAGAGAACGAGTAAAGAGCCTCCTTCCTCCCCATTGCAACCCCAAAAAGAACAAAAGCCAAACACTGTCAGTTGTGGGAAGGAAGAAAAGAAGCTCCCTGAGCCTGTGGAGAGATACAGGGAGTCCCCTGCGCTCAAGTCCACTCCTGGAGCTCCCAAAGATCAGAGGAGGCAGCCTGGGCGCCGACCCTCACCCTCAGCTGTTGGGAAGCGTCTCAACAGAGAACAGAACACTCCCCCCAAGTCTCCTCAGTGAAAACCGGATGCCTGGGAGGAGGGGTCACAAAGAGCTATACTCACCACACACAAAACTCTCCCTACGCAGTACAGAATGAGTTGCTGGTTAGGAGCTTGCAGTGTCTGAGAGGCCTGTGGGATGCCTGCAAGTTAGTTTTCTTCTGTGAGTTGGATTTTTCCCCTCTTGAAAAAAAAATCTATTTTTCAGGATTTAATTGATATAAACCTTATTTTAGGTTGGTGCTTAACTGGAGGTGATGCATAAGTCTGATTTTTTTTTTCAGGATAGAAAATGCATTTATCCTAACAAATTGATATTTTTTATTAAGCCTCCATGTGGCTCTGAATGCAACTATATATAGAGATTTTCTAAATTAAGGGAACTATGCTACTTTTTTTTTTTTTTTTGTTAATAAAATAACTGGTCTGCAAGTGCATATGTTTAGGTGTCCCAACAGATAGATGAGGGCTAATGGTGCTGGCAGGGGCACCCTCAACCTCACAGCGGAAGGGGCTGATAGTTTCAGGGCACCAACATAATGGCATAGGAGCTGGGTTTTCATCTAAACCCTTAACAGGTGATTCTAGCTTTAAACACACAAAAAGATATATGTATATATATATAGTCCTGTTTTGATCTAGTGGGCAGAATAAACCTGCAGAGAGCACCTTAGAAAAGATCTGAAGAAACCTTTGAGTTTTAATGTACTGCAAGCAGGTAACCAGCTTCTCACTCCAGTTTCAAGTGGCTATATGTAAAATAAATTTAAAGCACATTGTGAATAGAACCTAAGTGAAAATATAAGCTTTGTTGCCCACTGACAAAGATACCATGAAGTTGTACCATGATGTTGTTTTGAACCCTGTGAGCTGGCTGCCTGGCTCCTGGCCTATGCGCCTGCTCCATGCACATTTCTGTCCATGTTCCCCAAGCACTCTTGTTGGAGAGTCCACATCTTAGTCAGCTCCATGTGGACATCTTCTTGTACCTCTGCACCGGCACATGGATTTAAAAGTATGTAACCGTGAGAGAATGGTGTTGGTGGTGTTCCCCCTCTTTGGCTGGTGAAGGACAGAAATTGCTGGTCTTTTACCTCCAAGGTGAGGGTCTCATTGATTTACTTCTAGAAGTGCTACACTTCTGAAGAACAAGGATGCACTAAAGTTAGCAAGTTTATAATAAAGTTAAATATAAATTATTTTGTTTTAAAATGCCTAACATTTTTCTTTAAGTATTCTAAGCAGCAGACGTTAAAATATTTCCTGCTAAATGTAACCATACAGTTTATCCCACAAAATGTTATGTAACAAGACTGAGGGGTTTTTAGAAGAAAAATTATTTCCATCCAATATTTAAAGACTTGAATTTTATTTAAACTTGAAAATGACTTTGCCTTAACTTTTGTATAAGACAGCTTAGAGCTCATGGAGCCCGGCCCCTGGTTGGCAGGAGTGGATCAGAGTTACTCAGTTACCGTGTGGATCTCTTGTTGTTAGATTGCTGAGTAAGCATACTGTAGTACAAGAACTAGCAGTAGTTTTTGTAATATACCTTACAGATCTTCAACAGTTGATCTTTTTTCAGATTGTTGAAAAATCCTGTAAATGCAAATAGTCGATACTGTATTAAATATGTGCACTTGGGAGTGTGCTTTGCTTGTACAGTTGTAAATAATCAGAACATATTAAAAAGGTACCCTACAGAGAAAAATCTGATAAAAATTATTGATATATTATAAATGTTGCTGTTGACCTGGATGTAGATAAACTAAATGTTGTGGTTTGAACATTATTTTAATTTGTTGAGGTTATTTTTTTTTCTCTTATACTGGTGTGTTGAACTGATTCTGCCTCTGCTGCAAAAGGGAAATGGAGAGTATTATTAAAGCCTTTAATGTGCTCATGACTTCAAGTATGTAAATGCATACTAATCATATCTAATGTGAAAGGGGCTTGAACTACAATTTGGAAAGTAGAAACTGGCAGGATCTTCAAATGAAAGTAAAAAATAATCTACTAATTAAAATCATATATTGCTAAGTGTGATTTAATTTATCCTGCCAGAGGAAAACATGTCTGATGTATGTGACCATTTCCTTCAGAGCAATTGCCATTATTCAGATACACAGAATTACACATAGTGCTAGTATGTTCTAAATGCCTGTTAAAGGAACATGGGAATTAAATTTCCTTGTAATTGTCAGCTCACTGACATAAAATAAAAGTCAGAAATAATCTCTTAAAACCCAAACTAAAGCTGGAGGGTCCTTCATACCACATTTTGCTGGAGGAGGGGCCAACACATTGACAGCCATCCTCATTCTCAAATCACAATGCTCATAGGGTAAGTCCATGGTTTTTAATGAGAAATCCTTTCCCCAGGAAGCAAGCATTGCAGACGTGTGTGGGTAGGGCCAGCTCTGGTCACTCACTGTATCTGTCGGCTGGAAGTATGTAAAGCTCAGCAGCTGCACAGGAGCCAGTGGGCACGTGGCATAGTGAGAGTGCTGTTTGGTGAGTGCTGCTGCCGTCTGGACAAGTCAGGACACTGTAATTACTGCTTAGCCAGTGACCATCTGGCATTGAGAACTGAAACTTGCTCAGATGTGATATTTATAGCACTCTTTTTAATTACGCATAGATGATATGCCAAATAGCTATATAATGTCCAAAAAAAAACCTTTCTGATAATTCTTGGCGATTTTTCCGCTCAGAAAAAGGAGTTATCATAATAGGAAGCTGTGAGGGTGCATGTGGACTGTTGCTATGTCATATACAGCTAATGATTTGTGGTTTTCATACATTTTTTTAATTTACTCATTCCTTCTAGTGTCTCAGTTTATAGAATCAGAGACACAGTAGTCACAAATGACATTTTAACTTGTAAAGTTGTGTGATGATACTTATCCTTTGGAAATATAGGAATAAGAATCTGGCTCTGTTTCACCAGACATGAATTGCGAGTAATTGCTCTCTTTAAAAGTTGGTGTCATGATGTCTCTGAGCAGTCCCTCCTGTCACTGCATCACTGGTGCCACTGCTGGGTGGCAAAAAGTCTTATGTTGCTGTATTAGTCAGGATTTCTGCAGTTTACATTTAAAAACTGGTTCAGTGTATCACAGCAGGTGACAAATGGTGCATACCTGTCTTTGTATCCCCTTCAGTGAGCTGTAGTTGTGGGTTTGTGTGCTTTGTAGCCTGTTACACACAAAGCAGCAGACAATCGAAGATTCCAGAAGCACTAACAGCTGCCAAGTCACAGAATGGGAGTGTCATGTGGAAGCTTTCTTGAAGGTTTTTGTTTTTGTTCTACTTCTTTTCATTAAGACTGGAATCAAGCTTACGTGTAAACTATTGGTAATTTAAGTTTCCTTTTGTGTCATTCAGTGTAAAACTGTCTAATTTGGAAAAAATGTAGGTTATGAAAAATAAAGATTTAGGCACTGTTCAATTTATCTTTTGATTTTTTAAATTAAAATTTTCTTCAAGAATCTATATTTTTAAAATGATTTTTTTTTTGTCTCTTTCCATCGGTGTGCAAGAGGAAAATACACAAGTGCCAAATGTAGTTTGAGTTGTAAAGGTTTCCCAACCCCGCCTGTCAGTCAACCACAGTGTAAGAATTCCCTCTCATGATAGGATCAGTGTTCATGCATGTAGTCGTTACACCCGAGTTTTACCACAAAGATAAATGTCCCTGGATCAGGATTTTTTATTTCTTTTATTAGAATTGTGATATTTCTCCTGACATCTACAGTTAGTAGAGTTGATGTTGAATCACTGTGGTTTTCAGGTCATAAACAAGTTGGATCTCAAGGGCAGGGTAGCTAACGCATAAGCAACAGCGCTGCCTGCAAAGAGCTGAAGATGGGAAGAGTTCTTCGTTACTGATTTTAGTGGGCAACTGATCTGAGTCAGATGTTGGTTAACTGATTTTCCTCTTCTGTGAATTGCCTTCTCATACCCTTTATCCATTTTTCTACTGGGTTATCTTTTTATTGAAGTACCTGTTGTGACTTTCTTTGTTTTGGAGTTTTTGTTTTCAGTTACTAGGTAGTACAACTTAGACCAGTCCATCTCCTTTGTGGTGAGTCTTGATCTTGTTTAAGAAGTCTTTCCCTATTCCAGAGTCATATTTTACATATATTTGTGTTTTAATCCAGTGGAAATTTTGGTCTAGTGTATATGTGTGGTCTGAGGTAGGAACTCAATTTTAATTTTTTGCCATATAGGAGGTTTCTTTTTCCAGTGTCCTTTACTAATTAGTTCCTTGTCTGTCCTCTGATTTGTAGTGCCACTTGTTACTTGAGAGTCACTACCTCCATATGCCTGGGTCTTTATCTGAGCTCTATTTTCTGTCTTTATTTTTGCTTCTATACTGGCAGGCATAACATTTAATTCTCCCGGCAGTCTGTGTATCTGAGCATTTCCTTTACAGACTTGTCATTCGCAATTCATTGTGCTCCCCAAAGGCAGGAATTACACCCATCTGAGTCACCATCACATCTATTCTTCATACAAGGTCTGCAACACAGTAGATGCTCATCAAATGCGTGTTCTCTGTGCACAGCTCTTGCCTCAGAAATTTAGAAAGAAATAGGGTGTGGTTTTGATTTGATATCGATACATAAAATGCCACCCCAGAACTTAGTGGCTTGAAATGGTCATAACTGTAGATTTGCTGCTAGGCATGGCCAGTGACAGTGCTGAGGCTGGGTTGGTCTAGGCCAACAGAAAAGCCAGCCTTTTCATGGCTGTGGGAGATGTGCAAGAACCAAGTCTTAATGTTTGAATCCTTTTTCTCCCAACGTGGAAGTTTAAAATTGAATGCAGTCTGTTCCTTGAAACATCCACATTTGTGTGTTCAGATGTAGGGGTGTGTGTGTGTGTGTGTGTGTGTGTGTGTGCGCGCGCGCTACTGGGTTTTGAACTTGGAGCCTCTCACTTGCTAGGCAAGCACGCTGACACATGAGCCACGCTCCCAGCCCTGTCCACATCCTTTAATAATGCTGGCATCCTGTTTCTGTAAATTGTTGGATACAACTGAAGAAATACCACCAGCAGATTGCCATCTATTACTGGTCCTGATTGCATACGAGCCATTTCTGAACCATATAAACTGTTAGTTTAGTTAAAGTCGCCTTGTGGTTTTTTCTTTGATGTCCTATATTTCTGATTCACCATGGAGCCATGGGAAGGTAAATCAAAGAAGGAAGGGTACAACAGGAGTGTTTAGTTTACCTGCCCAGAGATTGCTCTCTTTGGTTTCCCATGAGTTATGAGACTTGTGCTCTCACAAGGAGTGAGCACGGAGCACATGCTCAGCTGGAGGGCTAGCCAATAGGCTGAGCCCAGCCCTCCTAGAGCTGAGGTGGTCAGGATCAGGGCAGGGGGTGGGGATAGGGGGTGAAAGGAGCCTGGTCCTGGCCAGGTAATCTGGGTAGTCCTGCTGTTTGAGCAGGAGAACATACCATAGAAGATGGTCAGCTGAACCCACTGAGGGTTGCCAGGACTTTTCACAGAGTTTCTGGAACTGAGGAATGACGATCTGCAATAGAGGAAACCTGACTGCCAGGCCTTGGGACTGAGGAAAAGAGGCCTCTAGGAGACAGCCCTGCTATGTAGGCCAGGGCCCACACATAACTTGGTTTAGTGCAATTCTGGGTTTTCCTTCCATAGCTGAAAAACCTAGGTCTGTTGAACAAATGGACCCCTGGATTTAATGTATGGTCCTTTACATGTAGTGTGGGAAAGGCTTTCTATAACCTGCTGTGCAAAGATGTGGGGTGTTGATAAGTAAAGTGGATCAACTCTGAGGGTGGCTTGTCATCAGTCTGAAGGAGTTTTTCCCTAACTACCGCATCAGAAGAGAGCTGTGCACGTCTGCATGGCGGTAGGAATAATGCTTGTTAAAAACCAGTCTCCGACTCCAGCCATCCCAGGCCAACTGACCTGAGATTAAAGGCCTACAAATTTTTTTAAGGCTCCAAATGATTACTGTAATTGGACAAGTTTGGGGACTGTGCTGTTGTCTTCCTGTTACTATTTCTAAGGTGATTTCATTGTGTCTAGAGAATACCCTGTAATTTCAGTTTACAGGAATGTTTTAAGGTTTGTTTTATGATTCTGGTAAGATTGGTAAATGTTCTATAAATGTCACATCCTCTTGGTGGAGCAAGTTGCTCACTTCTGTCGCCTTGCTGACTTTCTGTCTCGTTTTGTTACTTGCTGTGAGTGGGGTGTTGAAGTCCCTAGCTGTAATGACAGATATGTCTGTTTCTCTGTTTGCTATTTAAGTTTCCTTTGAAATGTCTTCTTTGATTCATATTATTTAGAAGTGTGCTTCTTCCAGGTGTTTGGAGGTCATCCTGTTGTCTTCCTATTACTGATTTTCTTTGCTCTAAAGTTTTACTTTATTTGATATTAATATACCCATTTCTGCTTTTTGCTTTTCACTAATGTTTGTATGATACACCATTTTCCATCCTTTTTACTTTCAACTCACCTATATTATATTTGAAGTGAGTTGTTTGAATATGGCACATAATTGGGGTTGTTTATAAGTTCACTTTGCAAACTTCTGTCTTAGAGTAATTATTTATATTAGGGCCACGTCTGTCATTTTATTATTTACTCTCCACTTACTCCTGTTTCTTGCTATTCTGTTTCTTTTCCTTGCCTTGCTGAACATTATAATTTGCTGATTCTTGATCTTAATTAGAAACTCTTATGGAAAAAGAAGAGGGCAGTGCTCTATGCCCACCAAGTTACCTTTTCTGGAGTGCGCTGTCCCGGATACAGCCTTGAGGTGTCCTCTGCTCACAAGTCACCTTGAGCAAGCTTTTAAACCTCTAAACCTGCTTTCTTATTTTTCCAATGGGATTATAACAATGCCTTCTATCTGAAGCTTTCAGAAGACGCAGTGAACGCCTTTACTCCACGTGGCCTCCCAACACTTTTGCTCTGAGCCCCAGCCTACACTGTGCAAGCTCTTTGAGAAATTTTGTCCATTGACCATTCTCAGGTGGTTTGGACAGTTTGATCCCAAGCCACAGGCATCTCGTTCCTATGTAGCCACTGTGATTGGTTTAGGGAGGACCTGAAATCAAGTGCAGGTCAGAGAGATACAAGAAGACTGTGGAGCTTCTGGAATAATCACCTGTGGGAACTACTGAAAAGGCCCTCCCTCTTCCTTTGGATGGTCTGGGTTAAGATGAGAACTGAGAATTACAGGAAGGCAGCTGTCTGAACATAAGCCACAGCCCTGGACAGAGCTTCAGGAATTGCCAAGAATGGATTCAGTGACGTCACAAACTCCAGAATCGAACTAGTCTCATGCCAGAACTACCTTCAGAGTCTCCAGGTATATGTGCCACAGGCCCGTTTTTGGCTCAAGCACTTTATATTAGGTTTGTTTGTACCCGATAGGTTTTTTTTAAAAGATACAGAAGAGTAGATTAAATAATGCATGTAAAATATCTAGCACAGTGCCTGGAATGATCACCCAATAAATTTTAACTGTCTTTGTTGAGACTGCCCAGTAGCAAAAGGTGCGATGTGTTTCAGTTCCAGGGTGTGGAACCAAACTATTCTCACCCAGACCTGTTTGTTGCAGCAGAACAGGGTAGGACCCACTGACAGGTGTTAGTGACTGGTTCTATCTCAGAGGCAGCTATACACAGGCTCCCCAGAAGAGACGAGGACATGAGCGCTGCTCCCAGACTTTCCCACTACAGCAGGTGAACATGATGAGGACTGAGGATGGCACCTGAGAGCTAGAGATGAAGGGATGGCCATTCCGAGGAGAGCATTTTAGCACTGCAGATCCTCATACTCTCAGCCTTACCACCCCATCCTGTGTCCAGTGTCACTGGCTTTCCTCCTGCACTGGCCACAGCCTGTCAAGGTTCACTGCTGGCTTCTCCTGGTGTCTGGTGGCTAACTGTTGCAGTGGCCTCTCATTACATCTGCACTGACTTTGTGCTCCATGTTTTTAGTCACAGTGCTTCTAAGCAGTAGACGTGCCCCCAGCCTCAAAATAAATCCCAGCCTGGACGGCCAGCAACAGCGTGTCTTCTCTCTGCAGAGGAAAGCAGGGCCCAAAGATGATGTCAAGAACCTGAGCTCTCTCCTGGGCCATCTGTGCACTGCCACCATCAGGACAGCTTCTTCTGCAGCAGACAGCAAAGGGGCTATAGCTGTCAAGGTTGGACATGGTGGTGCATGTCTGTAATCCCAGCACGCAGGAGGTCAAGATAGGAGAATCACAAGTTCAAGGCCACTGGGCTACACGGCAAAACCATGTTTTTTTGTTTTTTAAAGTGCTATTGTATTGTAGGCAGGCATAACAAAAGAAAAGTTTCTTTTTGAGTGGCTTTTAAAACTAAGGAAAATGTCACATCTTGTTGGCCAGAGTTGGGACTAGTCACTGTTGATGGGACCAGTTAGGGCTATCATGGGAACTTGGACTGGGCCAGCTTCCCCTGAGGCACATGGCAACATGAAGAGTCCCTCAAAGCATTCAAGGTTGTTAAGAAAGAAGGGGCAACCAGCGTGTCCACTCTGTACGCTCCACTGTCCACCCCTACAGTAGATAGTAGTGGCTTGCCCTACTATCCCAGGCTGTGTCTGACTTCTTGCTTTGACAGTTAATACACTGTCAAGATTTAATGTATCCAAAATAGGGCCCTCGATTCCTCTTGCTTCCCCACAAAGACACCATCTCACCTGGTACCTCTTTCCCAGTCACTCAAGCTAAAATACAAGCCATCCTGATTTCCCATTTCCTCTCGTCCATCAGCAGGGCCTGGCAGCTCAACCTCCATGAGTCATCCATATGGTTCCCTTTGCTCGTGTTCAGCACAGGCGCCACTAATTGGTCTCATCCGGTTTCCAGTCTTTACAGCAGCCCAAGGACCTTGTTGTGATGAGTCATGCCAGGTCATTCCATTGCTTCAAATCCTCCAGCGGTTCCCACAGTACAGTGAAGTCCAACTACTAAGCAGAGTTTGAGTCCCTCAGACATGAGCTGCCCCTCACCCAGGTCTGGCTTTACCTCTGACCACTTTCCCCCTCTCCATCCACACTACCTTTTCCTGTCTCTCCTGCACAGTGACCTTGCTCTGTCTCAAAGCCTCAGACACACCAGCTCCCTAGCTGGGAACAACTCCCTGCTCTTCTACCCCCTCTACCCTCTGCCATGTTCCCTGTCTCATTGTATCTGTAGCACTTACCACTATGTAAGTTTCTAATTTATTTGCTGAGTTGCCTTTGACCTGCATTCCACAGATCTATCAACTATATACTCCCTTCTGTCCAGTGCTTGGAGCATCCCTGGCTTGGAATGGACATCTTGTCTCTGTGCCTCGCTTGCTGTGCCCCAAACACTTTTAGGCCCAGGGGTGAGCAAGTGTGAACCGCAGTCTAATGATTGCCAAGCCTGTCCCATAACCTCCAGTCTCCACACGGATGTACAAAAGGCAGCTCACACTTCCCATGTCCACAGCTGAAAGGCTGATGCAGCCTTGTATATTCCATGACAGCTCCGTCCCTGCATGTGCTCATGCCCCAAACTTTGGACTTGCCCTTGACTGCACTCCTCTCCCACCCTACAGCATCAAATCCCATTACCTACCAAGCCACCATGGATGGTGCTGCAAGACGCTCCCCTGCCTCAGGATCAGCTTCTTCATTTTTCTCCCTGTTTATTCCTGTGATCCTCCTCAGCCT